AGGTAATTCTTGTTACATCCACTTTGAGATATTGAGTTTTCACATTCTTCCTACAGTCCGTGAATGCTAAGATTGCAGCCGGTAGATGATACAGATTGATAATGTTGTCAAAAGTACTGTAGTTTAGAAACTCTACAATGTGCTCCTTCATTGCATTGTTTACCAGTAGCTTTATATTCTTCTTGAGTTTGGCTTGAGATTCTTTCATTTTCTTTATTTCCTTCTCCTGAGTTTTGATCTTCTTTTCGCATGTTTTCCTCTTTTGCTCTTCAAATGAAAGAATTGTCCTCAACGAATCTTTCTCATCTTGTAAACTCGTAACTGCTGGCACCACCTCATCTTAGTCCTTCTTCATCTCTTCCTTTTCCATCTGTAGCACATCATTCTGCTTCTGTAACTTGTTGCGTTGTTTGATATTTCCAAAAATTCTTAAGCCAACGCATTAACCTAGCTCGCACACTACCATACAAGCACCAGTCAACAACACAAAAAGAAAAAGAAAAGAAAAGAAAAAAAAAACAAACTTAGCAACCTAAAGTAGGGGGAGGAGAAGAGAAGAACAACTATAGTATCATACCTCCAAGGCATGCTTAACAAGCGAACTCCCTCCATTGCTCAGAACCTCCTCTTTTGCTCGGCGATGATCCACTTTAGAAAGATATGCATTTAAGAGGTTTTTCGCTACCATACTACTTTTCGTATCAAAAATACTGTTCTGCAGAGTAGGAAGAGGTACTAGAGCCTTTCCCTTGCCATGGGTGGAAACCGCAATCCTTCTGAGTTCTGGATCGAGCTCGACAGGAAGAGGCCAAGGTACGAACTCCACCACCTTGTCTCTTCTAACTTCTATCTCCCCCACCCTCTTCTTCTTCCTTTGAGCCGGCTCCAAGTCTTCACTTCCCTTGCGTTTGAGCTCTGGCCTTGGCTCATTTACCGGAGCTCAGGCTAAGGAATTGGAGAGCTGCTCCCTTTTTTTCTCTCCAGTTTTTCCCTCACTTGCAACATCTGAAGTCTTTGACTTCTTCTTTGGTTCCTTAGGGATAGCCAATCCTCCAACTGCACCCAAAAATCTCTTCATCTCGGCTGCAAAAAAGAAAAAATGTTAAAAACATAAGTCAAAACCTAACATTAAATCATGCAAAGCAAAACACAAACACATCTTCACTCAACGAACTTGGTCGATAGAGCTCAGCAGCATTTATAACCTCTAAGCTGGTGAGATACATAATATCCAAAATGTTACCTCCCTCTCTCACCAGCTTCTCAAACTCTTCCTCCTCATCACTAGTTAAGCTGTACTTATTCTGGTTGGCCTTTTTAGCCTTCCAGCTAGACAAAAATTCTACCTCTACATCCCTCATTTCCCACTTTGTGGTATCAACAAAGAAAAACTTTTCCTTCCATCCCTTAATGGATGAAAGTCTTGCACTAAATAAGTTCCTTTTTTCTTTGTTAGATGATCGAGGTGTGAAGTAATACCACCCCTTCTCTTTTCTACTCACAGCCTTAACTATAAAGAAATGTGTAAACATATTTACGGTGGGTACCCTAACACCCCTAGCTCGATAGTATACCAAAAACCCAATTATTACCCTTACTGCGTTAGGCACTAATTGGGTCAACCCTATACTATACTCTAGCAATAACCAAACTAGCAACTTTGGAATTGGAAACCTACGCCCAGCTGTTAAGTAATGAGCATACATGGGCATCCAATGATCTCGAGGTGTAGAACATTCCATTTCCTCTACCTCAACAAGCTTAAGTAACACTTGGGAGGAAGGTCATAATTCTCAACCAAGTAAACGAGGCTATCCCTCGTACGTAGCTTGGTCTCATACCCCTTTGTTGGGGTGTGCTGGTGATGTAGCTTGATGAGTCAGCAGCAATGATAATGTGGAGGCTAACTAGGATGACACCCGAGGAGATGAGGAAGGGTTCTTTTGGTGGCACCCGTCTCACGTGCACATGGCTACGTGTTATGGGCCATCCCTTTTTATCCAGCGATGATATCACACAACTAGATCCCTAATGAAGTTGTAGAACATAAATCCCCTGGCCAAGCTATTAGAGTTGAACTACAATAGCAAACTTCTTGCAAACTCGAAATGATTACACAACTACCAAAACCATCAATAAGAGTGTGCATATATGGTTGAGAGAGTGGCGAAGATGATAAACATATAGGGTTCAAAGATTACAATTTTGAAGTTACATTCACACATAGATCACCATAACCTAATAGTAATGACACCAAATAAAACCTTTATTATCTCTAATGAACATTTTCACCCAATAATGCACAACTCTCATGTTGAACACTAAGGACGTAATGACCCTCATTCCGCAATTTCTTTAGGAACAAAGAAAATGAAGAAGATAAACTCAAAATACTAATGGGAGAAAGAAAGGTGTTCGCTTGGGGACGTTTACGGGCGGAACTCTTAATCCTATTCTTTGATGCTAACCATGCGGCTTGATCATCTGATGCTCAAGAAGAATTATATGGGTGATGGAACTATAAGCTGTTGTTTTCCAACCGCAATATCTTGCAAATCTAAGAATACTTTGTGATATTGGAGATTATGATGCGAGGCTGGAAGTCATTTTGCAAGGTTGAAAATATAGAGAAATGATGATTTCTGGGTGGCTTTTAACATGCGGGGTGATGGATTACAGATGGAGTAATTTTATAAAGAAGGAAGAATAGGGATCTGATGTGTATCTCGAAGATCTGGGTTCTCCTCCACACCCCCCCTTTTGAATGGCAAGGGAGGGATGATATATGCAATCAGGGGTAGTTTTGTAATCCTACTTAATATGTCAAAAATGTACAGATGGGTCCAGGTGAGTTATCAAGCTTAGATTGGTTCCAAGCACTGTTGATGGTTGCTCTAATGTTAACATCATGAGTTTCCCGTTGGTTCCAACAAAGCTTTACTGGTTCCAACAAAGATTTACTAGTTCCAACGAAGCTTTACTGGTTCTAATGATGGACTAGAAGTTGGACATTATTGGAAATTCTCCCAATCATATGAAACTCTGTTTTTGGGGATGCTCGAGTGCAACTGGCAAAAACACCACCTGCACAGTGATTTGGTGAGTTCTTCAGGCTCTGTTCGGGATTTTAGGAGATCTTGCAAGCAGATAGTAATCTTCCACAGTAGTTTCCAAGGCTATGAAACTTGTGCAGCCACCCTTGCATTAAATATGGCTGCAAGTTGTTGATGGTGATTCAAGCGGCATCTCTAGTTGGTCTTCAACGGGATTTCCAGCCTCTGGTTAGCATCAAAGGATACTGTTTCAGGAGTTAAGTTTGTTTATACACCTTCGCCACCCATCCTTTTCTGGCGAAATTGGGCAACATCGCCAGCACCAAGCTTCGCCAGTGTGAATGCCTTACTTCGTCAAAAAGGCAATGTTCACCTATCCATGCTTGTCAAGCCACTACACCCATAGTTTATCTCAAATAATTCCCAAAAGCTTGGATTCATGGGCTTGCGCTTATCTGCGATAGTAAGAAAGTACATTTGAGCATATATTTGAGTATTTTAAATACAAGCAATATGTGAATATACACAGCGAAGAGAGGAACTCCCTTATATGTTGAGGAGGACCATGTGGGCAAATGTTCGCTGCTCCCATTTATTCACTAGCCGTGGCAGGTGTTACTTTATTGTTGTTATGGGTGGCTGGCATTGTGCCAGAATAGAAAAAGGATGACATTGGTGTGTGTTGCGATATCATTATCTTGAGCCAAGCTTCACTGGTTGGGGATACCTGTTAACACTTAGAATATAAAATAAATATGTTATAAATTGGGATTACTGTCGATCGATAACTTTGTCCCTTTGTATAGAAAGATGATGATATACATGACCACTAGCCATGTTGCATAAGTATTATGGGGTTAGCCAGGGATACCTTTCCCATAGCCAAAGGGACAACAGTGGCTAGCTTTGTCCATGGTTGGAGCGTGAACTATGTGGAATTGGAAGAGCACTCCCACTAATTCGCCAAATCGCGCGAAGGGGTACATCTCGTTAAACCAAACTCCGCCATAGCAATGAAGATGTGATAGAGGGAGGTGGAGTTGTCTCCATCGAAGGGGGATGCCAGCCACATCCATGGCCTCTGATACGACAAGGTATGATACTAGTGACAAATGCTGGCCCTTTTTGCCATACCCACACCATCAGAGGGTGGTCCTGGTTGTTGTTGCTGGCTAGGCACACCACCAAGGGACCGTTGGCCGCTACTTGATGGATTTTCATCATTGGAGGGCAGCCATCCCGTCCGATTGTAAGGTTGCAATTGTTATCGGCCTTACGCTAATAATATCAAGTTGCACTGACTCTTTGTCCATTTTTGGGAGCTAGTGAGATAGATGTGTAGCAGATCTGGTCTTTTGTCCATCGTTGGGAGCTGTGTAAAGGTAATATGATCAACCCATTGTCTATTGATGGGAACCAGTGATAAAGATATGTAGGAGTGGATGCTTGGTCCATTGTCCATCGTTGGGAGCTACATAGATCAACCCGTTGTTTTTTTATAGGAGCCATGTAGCAAAATAGGCTCTTTATCCATTGTTAGGAGCTGCGAGATACAACAAAGAACATCGCTATAGAGGATATGGCCATCAAGAAGTGCCCAGCCATGTCATTGAAATAGACTTAGCTATGTCTGGCCATGTGTGTGGAGATAGATACTGGAGTGACTCACATTCTGCAATATTTCCAACGAAGCGAATAAGTGCCCCCCTCTAGCGATCTTGATTCCACAATAGCAATTAGTAGAATATTGGAATCACACGTCGAATGTGGAAAGATAAGTATTGTGGTGTTTTACTGATGTGGACCCGCACATGTCATTAGTTACGCATCCATGCAAATTCATTCCTCAACATTAGCCCCTCAAGCGAGCGAAGTTGTGACAACAAGTTTAGCCTCTTAGCGTTGAGGGAGATATATTACTGGGATGTTCCTCATATGGCTGGATGATCAATGTGAATCTTTCTGCTAAAGTGGATGCAACTTAAATGATTTGGGATTACCCGGATTTGGTTTCAACTAAGCAATCTACTGATGTTGAGGAAACTCCAACCGTGGGTTTCAACGTTGTTGGCTGGGCTTCAACATAGACCAAAATCAAACGAGGTTGAGATGGAACTCTAGCCAAAAGATTCAGAATCATTGGGAGTGGCAAATCAGACTGGGACTTTCTTGGCAAACTCTATCAAAATAGTCTTCTGAAGGAGGCTCATATGTGATTTTGAGAATGTTCGATAGTGACATCTAACCGATGCAAATACAAAGCCGACGTGCATGCTTTCAATCATATCTTCACCAGGAATCCTGTGCAGGGTGTATCTCTTCCATCGGAAAATGATATATTTGCAGCAAGTCCCGGGGATTTCTTCTCTCCCCTCCTGCTCTTTTTTTTTTTTTTTGGGAAACTGTTCATCTACAATCCGGATCTGAAGAGAATTCCAAACTGTTCTCCAGGGAAGTTTTCAGCAGTTGGATAGCAAAATAACTCCTTTTTTGAAAAACAAGGTAACTAAATCTTCCCAAAGAATCCCGTTATAATGGTGCATAAAAAAAAGGAGATTTTAAAGGGGATAAGGTGCAAGCATGTGTACCAGAGTAGCATGTACCTTACTTGTCCCCCCCCCTTGGGTAGCTCCTGGCCATGTTGATGCGTGACATGTGGTGGAGCAATTGGCTGGTGCACCTAATGCTGGCCTTAATTCCCTTTTTGCCACTCTCCTTGTTGCTTAGCAAACCCTTTCACGTTTCCCCCTTCCTTCTCTTTTTGTTTTTTTTGCTAAACTGACAAACCCTTCTCTCTCTCCACTACATCTCTAGTTTTCATCATTTCCTTCATAAAAGCTTTTGGATTTCTTCACGAATGGCTAGATTTCCCTGTGGAGATCGAACTAGTGTGCAATGTTGATGAAATCCTCTTCTTGACAAGGTAACGATGAATATTTGTTTCATTAATTTTTTTTTTTTTTGCATGCCGTAGATTCTTTATACCTTTATTGATCTAAAATCTTGTTTCCCCCTCCTATTCTTCTCTTTGATGAAAGCCTTACGAGATGGTCGCTCCTTACCCAACCGACGGAGTGCAGCTGTACCATGACTCGTGGTACACCTTCCAAGATGGTTTCCTGATTTAACGCTTGGTTGGCAAGACGGGCGTCCGAGAAACAAAAAGATTTGCTCTTGCTTGAGGCTTTCAAAGGAGGGGATGTTGGTTCGGCATGGTTTCCTTCACAACGCGAGACTCGAAAGGCAAGATTTGCTGCCAATGCCAATTCATTTTGCCTTCCCGTCTGGCAAGACAGAAGATTGGTCTAGATGGGCTAAAGAGGTGCTCGCTAATAATGGTTTTGTGGAGGTATTGCATGCCGTCGCGGCCCTTAAGCTGGTAGCTCTGAGCCAGACCTTGCAAATCAGTGGCAATGTGGAATGCCTCCATCGCTTGGTACAAAGATTGTGCACGAGCACTCACACTTTCATCCTTGCTTTTGGAGAAGTCACTGTGACTTTGGAAGATGTGGCAAACTTGATGTTATTTCCTATTGTTGGAGAGGAAGATCCACAACACATAGACTTGCAGAAGATGATGAGGACGACTGCTAGTGTTTCTTCTCGTTCATGGAGAGGGGAATACAGCATCGATTTTCCAACATGGATATGATATTTTTAGACTAACGAAGATAAAAATACTCTATATGTGCATGTGGCTTTCCTCATTACCTGGCTGAGCAAGTTTTTTTTTGGGAGCTTCCCGAATCATGAGATTATGGCTGAGTGCATTCCTTTGGCAATGTGGTTAGCTGAAGGTGTGAGGCTCCCCTTGGCTCCACTGATGTTAGGTACGCTCTATCACATGCTTGATTTGCTACATTTTAATGAGATTCTTGGCATTGGCTACTACATCATCGAGTCTCATGTGTGTCTATCTTTGTTGCAAATGTTTGCATGGGAGAGATTTCACCCACACTACTTTGGGCGTGTTACCGGTGGGAAAGCATTGAAGGAGTATCCCATGGCGAAGTGCAGTTACACTAGTGGAACAGCTTCGTTGGCTTGCTCCTGGATAGGAAAGAGAAAAATAAAAGGGTAGATCATCCCAGATGTAGATGGCTTTCTTGATGACTATGGCAGCTTTAATTTCCACGTATACAAGGTGATGCCTGGGACATTCGTTCCCCCCGAAGTGAGTCTTTTTGACAAAGCACTCTCGGCAATGCTTGGGAATCAGATTGTGAACTTCATTGCTGAAGACTTGGGCCATATGGAAGCACCGATAGTAGTTATGCCATCCATGCTGTTGTGTTTTACATGGTGGGGGATGTGGAGCTTGGAGTGTTACTACCCAAAAAAGGTGGCAAGGCAATTCGACCATGATCAGGATGTCCCTCTGGCTCCTTCTTCAGACAAAATAGATTGGAATAAAGTCATGTGGCCTTACATTGATGAGGTAGCTTCCAACATGTGGAGTGAAGGCATTGCCACGCTGAGGTTTTTTAGTCTTACCAAAATGTCAACCATGTCACCGTTGATGTTGGAATATTGGCGTACATTGTTGAAGAGGTTTGAAGCTTTTATTCAATCACTGCCGAAAGTGGTGGAATATGATTTTGCTTCCCGAGATTGTGATCTTCTTTTCACTCACAACAACTCTTTCTTGAGCTATTGCCATAAGCATTCTCGAGGGTTTTTTATGAGGGGAAATGATGGACAGTGGGTACCTGTTTATCTTCCCGTACTTGGCTTGGTGGGAGAGGAGTATCATGCTATTGAAGGAGAACCCGGACAAGAAGTAGCTGATGATGCTGGAATTGGAGGTAAATGCATGCTCTCATATTTCCTCCCTTTTCTACCTTAAGCTTTGGTTCTTCTTTCATTTGAGAACTTGGTTGGATCGAATGAATGCTGAGGAAACATTTTCGTACTGTTCTCATGACAATTATAGAAGAAGCTAATGAAGCTGCTCCTTCAAGAAAGTCGGCATTGGGTAAGAGAAAAAGCATTGCTCATCCACCCAGAAGCAAGGCACACAGAACTTCCGCTTCACCAACCAGCAAGCAAAGCAAGGCCCAAGCACCTACACCCTCCACGATGAGAACCACCAAAGGCAAAGGGGCAATTGATGGGGGTGATAGTGATGAGAGCTCCTAGGGTGATCCAGATCCCAAGGTGATTGAACAGATCAAGAAATTGCGACCCATTCGTGGTGGTAAGCATTTGGGTGAGAAGTATTATGATTCAAGCGCTTCGCTCCAGGTAAGTACACTTCCAAATCCTTCTTTTACAACTCCTTTAATTGTTGTTGACCTCACTAAGGATCCTTTGATGTGTGGCTTAATGCCTGCATGAGCAATTAGCAACTTCTGGTGAGGGTTTTGGCTAAGTTCCTATTCCTGGCGAGGACGAAATCCCCTCCAAACCTGAAGAGGCCAAGAAGGTAAAAGCTTTAATGGTGAACATGGAAGAAGCTTTAGCTAATCCCGATGTTCACCGAAAAATTTTGGCTAAGGAAATAGGTGAGCCTCCACTTCTTGACGAGATACTTAATTTTATCGACTCTATCATTGATTAGAGTGACCCTACGTCCTTCACAGCAGAGTCGACGACGAAGGCTAAGGCTAGTGACATTTCGCTACAGAAACCCTTTACTGTAAGTTATCTGCATGCTTGTCTTTCATTTTCCGAAATCAAAACTCTTCTTTTCAAAAAAAATCATTGAAGCATGCTTATCATTTCATTGTAGACCAAGGGAGGTGTGAGGATATCATATGGCACCCCGAGCATGACAAAGAAGCCTGGAGCAACAAAGACTCAACCTGAAACATCGATACCAAAGGTATGCAATTTTGCACCTTTATACCAGTTAAAGAAAACACTTTAGACGATTGTTGAATTTAGGCAATCGACTTAGCCGATTTCTTTTCCAGCCACGTCCCATTAGTGAGCTACCTCCTTTCCAAGCTAGCAATTTTGAATTGGTCCCCAGGGGGTTCAGACTGAAAAGGAAAATTGATGCTGCCACTGATGTGAAAGGTACTTGAAATAATTAAGTTAGTTTGGGTTTAAATACTTTGCTTGGTCAAAAGTTATGTTTTCCCATTGATCCACCATGTCCTCTTTCAATTTACCAGGTGTTGAGAAAGGGAAGGTCACCGAGGTAATCAATTCTAACTCTAGCGAAGATAGCAGTGAAGGATGAAGTGCTAGCGATGCCTCGTCTGAGAATAGGAACGGTTCCAAACAAAAGGGTGAAGGTGTAGGCCTCCAAGGTAGTATTGACATGAACAGGGTTGCCCTGGAAGAATTTGAGTCAGATGTGGGCAACGCTGCAAAGAAACCTGTTCCAATAAAGGCAAGGTAGTCGCTAACAAGTCGTCTAGGAGCTTAGAGAAGAAAATTACTGATACTGCTGAGATAGAGCGCAGCGATTAGCTATCTCCAACTCTTGTTAAGCCAAGTAAGGCTGCTGACCAACCATCTCCATCTTCTATTAGGTCGAGTGAAGTTAGTGACTTTGCCATGAAGCTGCTTAAGAATTTGGAAGAGATGAACGAGGATAGGGATGTGTCATTGGCTTGATTCGGCTTAGTGCCTATGGGTGGTTCGCTAGCAGTGGGTACATTCGTAGTGCTCACGATGTTGGAGGCATGGGCGCGCCATCTGCTAAACATCTTTCTGGAGCCTGACGACACGCAGCAAAGCCAAGAAGGTTATGGTTGAGAACACCTTCTCGATTCTTTGTGCAACCATGTGACATATGGAGGTAACTCCTTTTTCTGAAATGAATGAAGACTTTTTCCACTTGTGTAGAGATGCCATTGACGATGCCGAGAGTATAAACTTCAAGGTGGGTACCATCCATACACACTTATCAGATTTGGCAAAGGCGTACCTCGAAAAAACTGTGTTTGGCATGGCTGGGAATGATGTGACTGAGAGCTTGGATGAGCAAATTGAGAGGCAGGCGAAGCACATCATAAAGATGGAGAAGTCCCTAGCTGAGACGAAAAAGCTTGTCACCAAGCTGGAGGAAGGTCTGGTATTAGCCAAGGCATACTTAGGATTGCTTAATCAGGACAAGGAACATCTACAGTCCAACGGCATAACTGAGCTTTGCTAGTCTTGTATTAAGGCTATTAAGGTCTTTAGAGATGAGCCAGGCCCATTTTCTTCATGATTGGTTATGTTGGTTCTAGCTTGTTCTTTACTTTTCCCTTTATATCGACTGTTGGCGATGCCGCAATGATGTAATTTTTTAATTACACTTGTCTTGTATTAAACATCTTTGTCTCCAGCGAAGTTTGAATCTTGCTTGTTTGTTCATTTTCTGGCTTGTATTTTCTTATTGGACAAAAATAGATCAAAGAGGTTATTCTTTAGTGTATTATTACCATCATTGTTTCATTCATTTTTTTTTTTTTGAAACACTTGTTATCCTATTACAGAGTAAAATACAAGCGAACTAACTTGCAGAGTGCCAAATACAATAAGAAAATGCCATTTGCACAATAATATGGCTTGAGCCACTTGGCATTGACAGGATCCGATAGTGATCCTCCCTCATGAGTTTAAGATAGTAATATCCGCTATCATGTGCTTTCATAACAATGAAGGGACTGTCCCAATTAGCAGTGAACTTGGATGGCCCAACGATGTTCCTCCTTACATGATCAAAGGCCTTAAGGACCATCTGTCTAACCATGAAAACTCTAGCTTTGATCTCTCGGTTATAAGCTTCTGTCATCTTGGTTCCATATTTCTAGGTCTTTTCTTGTGCTATTAGTCAAAGTGCTTTTATAGACTCCAAGTATTCAATTCGTCTCTGGCCACAAATGTTAGCTTCGCTATTCAGTTCAATTGCAGCCAAGATGTGTGCAGTTGGTACCAGGACTTCGTCAGGAAGGACTACATCACAGCCATATACCAAGAAATAAGGTGAAAAGCCTCTAGCAGTCTTCGATGATGTCCGATGTGCCCAAAGAGTGTCCTGCAAATGGGCGCTCTATCCTAATTCGTATTCATGGACCGTCTTGCTCAAGATTCTTAATAAACTTTTGTTAGTTGCTTTTACTTGGCCATTGCCTTGGGGATAGTACTAGGTGGATTTCCGGTGCTTGATTTTGTAAGTGTCCAGCAATCTTCACACGTGTTGATTAACAAAATGAGTACCATTGTCACTCACAATTTTGTATGGGGTCTCGAAGCGGCAAATTATGTACTCTTTGACAAAACTTGACACTACTGGTCATGTGGCCTTACGTAAAGGGACAACCTTTACCCATTTGGTGAAATACTCAGTAGCCACCAATATCCAAATGTAACCCTCAAATGAAGGGTGAATAGGACCAATGAGATCCAAGCCCCAAGTGTGAAAAGGCCAAGGAGTTTTTATATCTTGTAGCAAATTAGGATGCGAATGAATAAGACTAGCATGAACCTGGCAAGTGTGGCATCACCAAACAAAATTTGCAACGTCTTACTTCATGCTTAGCCAGTAATAACCGTGGGTTAAGAGTTGCTCATATAACTTTCTCCATCCTTCATACTCGCCACACTTTTTTGCCTATATATCAGTCATGACCTTTTGTGATACCGATAGCGATAGGCAACGAAGTGGTTCGTCGGCGAAGCTAGTATGAAACAAGACTCCACCATCCATAAAAAATTTTGGTAGTCTTTCAGGAATTCTAGCCATATTCCTTCAGTGAAATATTCCATGTAAGGATGATGCCAATCTTGAACGTCACTAGCAAAGAAGCACTCTTCATTTTGACAATAAACTTGCTGACAGGATCAACATTGCTGCTGGAACTCAGTAGATTGCCGAGCCATGTGTGGCCAGTAATACCTTGCTCATTGGATACGTCAATAAAGACTTATACGACTGTTATGGCTGCATGCACAATCATGTATCTCCCTAAGCCTATGGTAAGCCTCCTTATCACTGACGCACTTGGCCTAGATTCCACTAGGGAGGCGATAATATAGTTCAAGAAAAACAAGGATATAGTTAGGTAAGTCTTTCAAAGGTATATCAGATTTTTGTTGCAGTATAGCGCTATAGATTTTGTGCCGCCAGTTAGCACGATCAGGGAGCTTAAGCAACATAGACTTGCAACTACGATAAACGGGTTGCTCTTTTTGGGCAATCTGGACGCTAAAGGGAATCTCGATCATGGGCACCTTTGAGGCGATTGTGGCTAAGGCGCCAACCAATCGATTCTCCATCTGTGGTACTTGCTCATATCTGATGCTGGCAAAGGACTGCTCTAAGCGTTGGCTGCAAGAGCGATACGGCACAAGATGTTCTTCTCAGATGGCGAAGATACCTTAGACTTGGCCAAGGATTAGGCTTGAATCACCAACGATTTTCAAGCGTTGCACGCCACCCTCTTGAGCCATAACGAGGCCGATGAGATAGGCTTCATACTCTGCGGTGTTGTTTATACACTGAAAATCAAGCTTAAATGAGAATACCATGTCATGACTTGTGTCATCCCTAAGGACAACGCCAGCCCCAACCCCAGCCCTTTCAACCGTAGAAGAACCGTCAAAGTATAGTGTCCATTCTTCCTCAATTTTCTGTACAATGGTAACTTCACCACTTGGGACTTCTTCAGAGATAGGGTACTGGACTTCGTCAGAGAACTCAGACAATAGATCTGCAACGGCTTGCCCCTTTTTGACGGTAAGATTAACACATGCAATATCATACTAGGATAATTGAAGAAGCCAATTAACAAGATGGCCAACGAGCATAGGTCGGGTTAAAAGGTACTAGATGGGCTAGGACTTGGTGACAAGTTGTATCTTCTAAGCCAAAAAATAATGTCGAAGACGTTGAGAGACATAAATTAATGCAAGGTAGATCTTCTCAACAAAAAGGAACCTTGATTCAGCGCCTTTGAGGTTTCGACTGATATAGTAAACTAGTTGCTCTTTGCCTTCTTGATCATCCTGGGCAACCAACACACTCACAGCTTTGTCAAACATAGATAAATAGACTTTAAGTGGCTTGCCTTGGACAAAGACAGATATGGTTGGGAGCTTAAGCATGAGACTTTGCAAATGCAAGAAAGCACATTGCTGCTCCTCTGTCCATGTGAAAGCAGCTTCTTGCTTCAATAAAGAGCTAAACGTGGACAAAATTTCTTCCAACGAAGGAATGAATCTGCAAATAGATGACACCTTGCCAATGAAGCTTCGTAGCTATTTGAGATTCTTTGGTGGCTATATGGTTTGAATAGCTTCAAACTTGGCTGAGTCTACACTGATACCGTGTTTGCTCACAAGGAAGCCTAGAAATTTTCCTACGGAGACACCAAATGCACACTTCGCTGGGTTCATCTTTAGCTTGTACAAGCGGCATCTATCGAAGACTTTTCTTAGTACATTAAAATGGCCCAGCCTCGTCTTTGATTTTACCACAATATCGTTAATGTAAATCTCAATATATATATGAATGAAATTGTGAAAGATCACCACCATGACTCTTTGATAAGTAGCCTCAGCATTTTTGAGCCCAAATGGCATGACGACATAGTTGAAATTGCTAATAGGAGTGTGAAAAGCAATTTTCTCCACATCGTTAGGCAACACACTGACTTTGTTGTATCCCCTGCTGCCATCCATCAGAGAGTACATCTCGTAACCAATCGTATTATCCATTAACACATCCATGTTTGGAACAAGCCTTGTTGAGGTCGCGAAAGTCAATGCAGCACTTGATCTGTCCATTCTTCTTTTGAACCGATACAATGTTGGCTAGCCAAGTGGGCTTCTTTGTTGGCTTGATAAATCTTGCAGCTAAGAGCTTTTCAACTTCTTCTTTAATTTTTAGAGCAACTTTGGGATGGAAGGCGCAATTTGGCTACACAACTAGCTTCATGTTAGGATCAACATTCAAAAAATGCGCCCCCAAGGTTGGATCGAGCCCAGGCATTTCATCATAATGCCAGGCAAAAACATCTTTGTACTCCCATAGTAGATCGACTATTTTGGCACTTTTGTCAACAGAAAGCATGGCGCTAACATGCACGTTCTTGGGGTTTGTTAGGTTACTTCCAAGATTAACAGCTTTGAGGGGCTCCAGATAAGTAAGTGCTGGTTGAGCCTCATGAAGGGTCGGTAATTCATTTGGTGGTACTAGGTGATCAGCTTCACCAGCAGGATTTAAGTGCTTAACAAGTACTTTATTTCCCACTTCAAAAGCGAGGAATTCGGTTCCGTCATAGAATTCTTGTTCATCAATTGAGATATTCTTTCTAGTGGTGAAGAAGAAGTGATCTGAGGATGCAGTTACACTACTAACGATAGGGCTACCCTGCATATGGCTAAGGAGACCCGCGCGCCTTCACAAGCTGTACTTGACTCTTCCGTCGAGCATGGCAGTTTGGGTGCATTTTGGACACATTCAGGCAGCCTTCGTAGTTTCCTTCCTCTGTCTCTTATGCTCTAGGATACTTCGCAAGTTGAGATCAAGATTATCTTTGATATCATTCCATGCTGGCATAATAGTGCCACTCAAACGGGACACTATTGCTTCGCTAGAAGAAGCAAACTTGACTCACGAGCAGGTGGATGAGTTGGCAGGGGACTCTTCCAGCTTAACTAGAGGTCTTGGTTTCAAGCCCTGGGAATGCAGCTCCGTTAAAACTCGTAAAGGAGAGCTTTACCGCCAGTTGGGTCCTACCCGACTCGAATCCAAATTAGTCGGTGATCCAGTGGGCTTCCGGATACCGTGTGGTCCACACCAAAAAAAAAAAAAGGAGCAAACTTGTCATAGAAAACAACTTCGATGAAGCAAGTCTTAGTCTGATCGAAAGGCAATGGGTTGGCAGAGATGCAAAAAACTTTCCCGTTTTGGCAGCCCTTGACACATTGATGATCAGTAGAAGGAATAATTTTGTGTCGGTGTAACCATGGCCAGCCCAGCAGTACATGGTAAGAAACTTCTACATTGATAACGTAAAATGTAGTTTGGGACTAGATTAGACCAACCTTTAATTCAAGTTGGATGTATCCTAAGGCGTGTTCATTGCTACTACCAAAGCCGACGATACTGAGCAAGGACCTGATGATCCTTCGTTGAGAAATTCTTGCAACGGTAATGGTGTTCAATGGTATTAGGTTGAGAAAAGATCCAATATCAACAAGTGCATGCCTAACACTAATAAAGTTAATCTGGGCAGATAAGTAAAAAGGCTTCCTATGGTCAGGATATGGTGCCTCCATATCTTGGTCAATGAAAGTGATGGCGTTAGAAGACTCCAGATAAGCACGATTAGCATGTGCCTCGACATTGAGACATTCTCCTCCGGTCTCATTGGCGATGGTGAGTATGGCCTCAGTAGTGAAACCAAGTTGATCAAATAGCATTTTGAACTTCGGAGTTTGTTGGAATGCACGGACAGAGAAAGTGGGTGTATCATCGTGAAATTCGATGATCGATGCGCTCGTTCCAGCGTTCTCTATGTGAGTGAGAATATTGACAATGCCTTGAGCATGGCGTGGAAGAGGATCTTTTTCCACCCTTTTTCTTCTATTTGGCACCTCTAACAACCCTTCTAAAACCCGTCGATGATATATCCTTCTCAAGGAAAAACAATCCATGGTCACATGGTAGACAAAGCGATGGTAGCGACAATACTTGGGGTTGCATTTGTCATCATCATTGGGCTAGCATTGCGGCTGAGGTAACGTGATGGCATTGTCAGCAATCCACTGATCTCAGAGCACATCAAGTTCTTTGACAGTTAGAGGAATAGGCGATGGCAATGCTGCATCACGATCTCTTTTTTTTAGGCCTTGCCTTGGCCACAGATGGAGACAGCCAAGGTATGAGCCGTGGCTTTCTTTTCCGTTGACTTCATCGCAGTCTTTCTAACAGAGATGGCCTAAACAGAAATAGCGGTTCTTCTAGCAACATCGAGCAGTCTTGCAAACTGGTTGATCCCAATGTTCTCAAGAACAATGCAATATTTTGGAAACATATTATTGATGCAAATCTCTACCAAGAAGGACTCATCATGGCCACCATAATAATTAAGTGCCAAATCTCTGAACCTTTTCACATAAGACATTAGATCCTCACTAGTGCATTGGTGGGTGTTATGGAGATCCAGGACAATGATGCGCTCTTTTCTCTAGAAATATTTCTAGCAAAATTGCTTCACCATCTCATCCCAAGAGCGGATCGAACCAGGAAGCAAAGTGGTGTACCATGTGTAAGCTTTATCTGAGAGAGATTTTGAGAACTCGCATAAACACAAATCTCTATCTCTAGCGTAAGCTCCCATGGCGTCAAGAAACTTGCTGACGTGCTCCACAACACTACCCTTCTTCCCATCATATTGTGGGAATGCAAGATTGTTGTACTTCTTTGGGTATGGCTTGGATAGAATTTCTTTTGAATATGGTGGGTCACAAACAAACTAGAAAGGAGTTGTTCCACGTCTGGAGCGCTCCTTATCCAAAAAAGTAGTAAGATCTACCATAGTGACAAAACCTTAGGTAGGATCAACCGCATTGGGTGGGGCTCTATCAATGCTAACGATTGCAGCCACCAGTGGTGCCGAGTTAACTGGTCATGCAACAGAACCTCCATTTCCATTGGTAGCCCCAATATGAACTTCCTGTGGCTGGGGCATCCCAGTGATGTTGATTGGCTGAGCCAAATCTTGCACAACATGTTGCGTTTGAATATTGTTAAGGAGCTCAGTAGTCCTTTGCTGGTCTTCATGCAAGGCCCAGATGACTTGGACTAAGGATGCAAGGCTAGGATCGGTGAGCCCTTGCAAGAAATCATTGAAAACATTTGTTGATGGGCGTGGTTGCTGAACCACCCGCCTATCATCCTGACCCTGCTCTTGATTCCCATCAGCAATACGAGATGAAGTGGCCTTTGTGACAGGCATGATTAGGAAAGCTCTGTTAAAAAGGAACAAATGCTGTCAAGTAAAGATGCTGGGAATATTATACCACTAAAGGAGAGCGGAACAAGATGAAGCTCTAGGACGATCTCCTCAATGGAGTTGCCATTTTTTGTTGGGGTGTGCTGGTGATGTAGCTTGATGAGTCAGCAGCAGTGATGAGTTAGCAACAGTGATGATGTGGAGGCTCACTAGGATGACACTCGAGGAGATGAGGGGGGGTTCTTTCGGCGGCACCCATCTCACGTGCACATGGTTACGTGTTATGGGCCATCCTGTTCTATCCAACGATGATATCACACAGCCAACTCCCTAGTGAAGTTGCAGAACATAAATCCCCTGGCCAAGCTACTAGAGCCGAAATACAAGAGCAAACTTCTTGTAGACTCGGAATGATTACACAACAACCAAAATCATCAAAAAGAGTGCACATATATGGTTGGGAGAGTGGTGAAGATGATAAGCATATAGGGTTGAAAGATTATAATTTTGAAGTTACATTCACACATAGATCACCATAACATAATAGTAATGACACCAAAGAAAAGCTCCATCATCTCTAGTGAACATTTTCACCCTATAATGCACAACTCATGTTGAACACAAAGGACGTAATGACCTTCCTTCTGAAATTTCTTTAGGAACAAAGAAAACAAGGAGGATAAACTCGAAAATAGTGATAGGAGAAGGAAAGGTGTTTGCTTGGGGACGCTTACAGGTGAAACTCTCAGTCCCGTTCTTTGATGCTCAAGAAAAATTATATGGGTGATGGAACTATAAGCTGTTGTTTTCCAACCGTAATATCTTGCAAATCTGGGAATACTCTGCAATATTGGAGATTATCATTCGAGGTTGGAAGTCATTTTGCAAGGTTAAAAATATAGAGAAATGATATTTCTAGGTGGCTTTTAACATGTGGGGTGATGGATTGCAGATGGAGTAATTTTCATGAAGAAGGAAGAATGGGGATCTGATGCGTGTCTCAAAGATCTGGGTTCTCCTCTGCATCCCCCCTTTTGAATGGCAAGGGAGGGATGATATATGCACAAGGGTAGTTCTGTAATCATACTTAATATGTCAGAAATGTATAAATGGGTCCAGGTGAGTTGTCAAGCTTAGATTGGTTCCAGGCACTATTGATGGTTGCTCTGACGTTAACATCATGAAGTTCCCATTGGTTCCAGTGAAGCTTTGCTGGTTCTAGCGATGGACTGGAAACTGGCCATTATTGGAAATTCTCCCAATCATACGAAACTCCGTTTTTAGGGGATGCTCAACTGCAACTGGCAAAAACACCACCTGTAGAGTGATTTGGTGAGTTCCCTAGGCTCTGTTTGGGATTTTAAGAGATCTTGCAAGTAGATAGTAATCTTCCACAGCAATTTCCAAGGTTATGAAACTTGTACAGCCACCCTTGCATTAAATATGGCTGCAAGTTGCTAATGGTGATTCAAGTGGCATCTCCAATCGATCTTCAATGGGATTTCCAACCTCTGGTTAGCATCAAAGGATACTGTCTTGGGAGTTAAGTTTGTTTCCACACCTTCACCACCTAGCCTTTTATGGTGAAATCGGTCAACATCGCCAGTGCCAAGCTTCACTAGCATGAATGTCGTGCTTTGCCAGAAAGGTAACGTTCACCTATCCACGCCTACCAAGCCATTACTCCCATAATTTATCTCGAATAATTCCCATGGGCTTGGATTCATGGGCTTGGATTCATGGGCTTGCGCTTATCTACGATAATAACAAAGTACATGTGAGCATATATTTGAGTATTTTAGATACAAGCAATATGTGAATATACGCAGCGAAAGGAGGAACTCCTTTATATGTTGAGGAAGACCATGTGGGTAATGTTTGCTGCTCCCATTTATTCACTAGCCGTGGCAGGTGTTGCTTTGTTGTTACTATGCATGGCTGACGTTGTGCCAGAATAGAAAATGGATGACATGGGTGTGTGCTGCAATATCGTTATCTTGGGCCAAGCTTCGTTGGTTGGTGATACCTACTAACACTTAGAATATAAAATAAATATGTTATAGATTGGGATTACCGTTGACCAATAACTTTGTCCCTTTGTATAGAAAGATGATGATATACATGACCACCGGCCATGTTGCACAAGTATTATGTGGATAGCTTTCCCATAACTAGAGGAACAACAGTGGCTGGCTTCGTCCTTGGCTAGAGTGTGAACTATGTGGAATCGAAAGAGCACTCCCACTAATTTGCCAAATCGTAAAGGGGTAAATCTCGTTAAACCAAACTCCGCCATAGTGATGAAGATGTGACAGAGGGAAGTGGAGTTATCTCCATGGAAGGGGGACGCCAACCACATCCATGGCTTCCAACATGACAAGGTGTGATACCACTGACAAACGTTAGCCCTTCTTACCGTACCCGCACCATCAGAGGGTGGTCCTAGTTGTTGTTGTCCGCCGAGCACCGGACCACCATGCACGGGCAACCACCAAGGGACCACCGACCGCTACTTGATGGATTTTCATCACTGGAGGGTAGTCATCTCGTCCGATTGCAACGTTGCAACTATTATCGACCTCACGCTAATCGTACTGAGTTGCATTGGTTCTTTGTCCATTTTCAAGAGCCAGTGAGATAGATATGTAGTGGATATGGTCCTTTGTCCATCGTTGAGAGCTATGTAAATGTAATATGATTAGCCCGTTGTCCATTGATTGGAACCAGTGATAAAGATATGTAGGAATGGATGCTCGGCCCATTGTCCATCGTTGGGAGCTATATAGATCAGCCTGTTGTCCTTTGATGGGAGCCATGTAGCAAAATAAGCTCTTTGTCCATTGTTGAGAGCCGCGAGATACAATAGAGAACATTATTGTAGAGGATATGGTCATCAAGAAGTGCCCAACCATGTCATCGAAGTAAACTTAGTCATATCGGGCCATGTGTGTGGAGATAGATGCTGGAGTGAGTCACATTCCGCGATATTTCCAACGAAGCGAATAAGTGCCACCATCTGGCAATGTTGATTCCACAATAGAAATTAGTAGAAAATTGGAATCACACATCAGATGTGGAAAGATAAGTATTGTGGTCCTTTGCTGATGTGGACCCACACATGTCATTAGTTACGCAGCCATGCAAATTCATCCCTCAACACCCTTCACTTCAGAGGCAACATTTGCCTCTACATTATAACACCTATCCCCTTTACCCTCAATTTCCAAAATATTCGAGGGAATTCCTTCTTCTCCACCCTCAATAATCTCTTTCCCACTGACCTCATCCTCAGTTCTCTCTGACCCAGATGACCCAATCTCCATACCCTCATTACCGTATTCCAAAGCCCTAACTTCCTTACTTGCTCCAACACTCAATGTTTCCTTAGAAGACATTTCTTCAGTTTCATAACTTTCACTGCATGGAGTAGAGGGGAATGAAGTCAGGATCTTCAAAAAGTTCTAATTCACGCTCAATGTCAGTCTCACTCCTCAACCTAACCTTCTTAAGAGGACTTAAATCTAAATTAGAAAGGGTAAGAGGAGAATAAAACTCTTCACTAGAATCAGAACTACCAAAATTCATGCGTTACCTAATTTCGGTCTTGAAGAATTAGCGTAGAAGTCACAAATAATTCAGAAGCCCAAGCACACAAGCTCAAACAAAACTGTAATAGCACTTCGATAGCAAAAATGGCAAAAGTAAAATATTTTTACAAAAATATATGGCTATATATACCAATACAAAAAAATGCTTCTACGGTTGTGATTAATTCTATCCAATAGTCATGATTACACTGATTCGAATTTGATGGTTAATTCCTAATGGAACCTTCTCGAATTCGACAGTTCAGTTTCGAATATGTCTGTTCCACTGTTACAGTTACTTTTTACAGCCCATATTTATTACACATGTCTTTTGACAAACAACTATCATATCAAAATTATATTAGGCTTTTACATGGGCCTTAGTAGCCCCAACCCAAATCCCTTTGTTTATACAAGTATTTTTAGTATTACAAAACATAAATGTTTTCAATGCTATAACTATTTCATTTCGGCTACGGCCTAAGTGACCTCGAGTCACCATTTTTACTTCGACTACGGCCTTAGTGACCACGAGTCACCATTTTTACTTCTGCTATGGCCTCTACGGCCTCAGTGACCACAAGTCACCATTTTTACTTCGGCTATGGCCTTAGTGACCATGAGTCACCATTTTTACTTCGGTTACGGCCTTAGTGACCACGAGTCACCAACTTTACTTCTACTACGGCCTCAGTGACCACGTGTCACCATTTTTGCTTCAGCCACGGCCTCAGTAACATCGATTCAACAATTTTACTTAGGCTACAACCACAATGACTGCAGGTCATTGCTCCATAACTTGTTTCTCTCATTTATTGAGTCTTTAACATTTTATCACACTTTATCATACATTTTCAAGTTATACACTACCTTTACTATCTCCAACTACATCATTCACAAGTGAATGACTTCGAGGGGGAATAGTGTAACGATAGGTCCGAGGTTAAGGACCTCGGACGTACTGCCATATTTCATTAATGACCGAAGTAGCCTGCAAGCTCAGTTCTTCTCAATTGTGTAGTAGCATGACAACTATAGTAGACACGGCTGCACTTGATTCTCTATCCCCGAGATGATTGCCTAAATGGACACATCAGACTCCAATTATCTTGTTAAGCAAGCCATGTGGATACCTATGTGGATACCTCATTAAAGCCTATAAATACCCCCAAGAGCCACCTCAAAAAGGTAATTGAAACTGACCTAATGCTTCTTTTTCCATAATTCTTAAAGGTAGACTAGACTATTGTTGACTTAAGCATTAGAGTGTTTATCTTAAGGATCCACTTTGCGGCTTTGCAGGTCATCCCGAAGGGAAGACTTGGACTAGAAGAAGTCACCTAGTTTGTTGCAATTACACAAATATTTGAGGTTACTTGAATATATTACCTAAGAATATAAGAAATACTCCAAAACATCATTAAACATCTTTTACATACAGTCCATAAAAA